AGCTGCAAACAATGCTCTCGGCTTGGCTGGTTGGGTGCAGAGGGGAAAGCGACACCCAGAGAACCAGCCCCAGGCTAAGGCCACCCAACTCCTGACCCTTAGCAAACCCCTTCCTGTCTCCTAACCATAGCCCAGAAGGTCCCAGATGGTCCTGCCCCTACCGACCTCTCTAACTTCATTTCCTAACACCCTCCCCTCACCAAACATGCCTTGTTTGTTCTCTTCCAAAAAGTTCAGTCCTTCCCCAAGGCCTCTGCACTTGCTGCTCCCTCCAGCTGGTCCCCACCTAGGTCCCAAAGAGGATTCTCCTGACCACTCTATCCAAAACTGTACTCTATCTCCTACAGCCCTTATCACAGTATGCTGTTTTAAGTCCTCACAAAGTTATTATCATAAGAAATGCAGCCATGTATTTCACCTTAGTTTATTATTTAACTCCCACAATCTACAATATGTTCCAGAAAAGCAGGGTCTCATCTGCTTGTTTACTATTACATGCCCCAGGACCTGGAATGGTGCCTGGCTCAGAGTAAGACTCACACATATTAATCACCTGTCTGTTAAGTATATCACCAGCCCTCATCTGTGAAATATGGCTGTCATCAATGCTTGTCCTTAGGGCATTTGGGCAGAACAGTTCTTCAGTGAGTACAGCTCTGCCCCACCCTCTAATTGCCAGAAATAACACCAACTACAACACCCCCCACCCCCGCCCCCGCCAAGTGAGAACATACAACCAAAGTCTACCATCCCAAGACCCCGGGCAGAAGTAAGGAGAGAGATTGGTCTAGGTGTGTAAGGATGAACAGTGCCCATAAATGGGATGTCAGGGGAAAAACACTACAGACTAGGGGAACAGAAGTACAGTCATGGGTCAGAAAAGGCCCAATGAATGGAGTGCTTAAGTTGCACACTGGTGAGCCTCTGGTAGAATTTTTTGGCTAAGCTTCCACATGATAAATTTCTAATTTTAATGTCAGAGCCTCATTCTCCAGTTTCTCTCATGTCCTATCACCTCACCTGTCCAGCTTCCAGCTCATGAACTGCCTCTGACCTGAAGGCTGAGTCTGCCAGCCCAGCAGAAGACACCCGGGCTGGATGATGTTCCAACTTGATTCAGAAAGTAGAGGGGTTTCAGGAAAAGCTAGAGGGAACCTTCACCCCACCCTCTCTCTCCTAACTTCAGTCAGCAAAGGGCTGAAATGTGACTTGCTGCTATTTCCTCTTACTAGAGGCAGGCAGAGGGACTCTGGGACATGTATATCCAAGAGGTCTCTTATCTCCCACAGTCATGGGTCATTAAGGACAAAGGGACTATGGAATCTTTGGCTCCCACTGATTCTCCAAGGGTCATCTGAGCTGCCTGGGACACAACAGGCTCCAAGAACAAGCTCCACCGTGTGGGACCCATGCAGCAGAAAGGGCTCCCACTGGCCTCTCTGAGAATCCTTATACCTGTGGCTGAGAAGTACCCAGGGCCATGGTGAGCAGGTATACCCTGATTCAGGACAAAGCCTGAGAGGCACAACAGGCAGCTCCAAGGTGCCCTAGAGTGGCTTTTCAGCACAGGAAAGGAGAAGTCTGGGCACAGCTCAGTTTAGTGCAGGCTGTGCATCTCCTACCAGATGCTCTTTACCAGGCAGGTCTACTGTACCCTCCCAGTTCAGCTGGAGGGAGTACTGTTGCTCACACTTTACACTTGTAACCTTATCCAGTCAGACACCCTTGGCCATTAGGGTGATTCATCCAGAGGCCTGGGAGGCTACACAAACCCTTTTCCCCCAAGGAGCAGCCAATGGCTGACTGACAGTAGATAAAAAACCTCAAAAGCCTGGTCTCCCCCTTGCCTCAACCGGCAGTGCAATTCAACTCCAGAGGGTCACATGGTTCGACCCAAGGCTAGACTTTCTCTGAGACCACATCTTCATTCATCTCCCCTTCCATATTCTACTTGTACCACTTATCCCACTCATCAGAGTACTCTCTCAATAAACCACATGCACCAAATCCTCATCTCAGCCTCTGCTTCTGGGAAACCAATCTAAGACACTCACTTTCTCCAAGATAGGACAGCCCACCGAAGAATCCAGAAACCCTGGGACTTGGACTATAGATTAAAAAAATAAACAGATAATGTAACATCTACTAAGTAGAACGGTGCTCGGACACTGAATGTTTAGGAAATTTTTGAAACAGCATAGAAAAATACTTGGGCTTTAATGTTAGCTGGTGGTTGGAAAAGAAGGGGGTTACCAAGTGGTCCAAATACCAGGTTTGAGCTTCCAGGGGGAAAATAAGTGATGAAAAGGAAATCAAAATGGTGACTGATTGTATTACAGTCGAAAGGTTATGATATATTTCTCTTTCTCTTTTTTTCTACTTTCTCAATTTTCTATGTAATATTTTTTATACAAAGAGTACCTTAAAGAGGACCTAATGAAATTTACTTTATAGAGCGCTTTCAATAACACAAAATATCAGAAAAGAATCAGGAACTTGTCACATAGCCAGCAATTGTGGATGAAACTGGAGGGATTCAATTAGATTGGCAAATTAGCCAGAGGCTATAAATTCCTGAGTGAGGTGGGTCAAGAGGTGTCCTATGGGCTCTTGCTTAACTCACAGACCACCACCGCTTTAGGACATCACATACAGCACTTCATATTCTGAGGCTTAGACTGAAACGTGGGCACTTTAAACTAGAAAATCTCTATGGTTCTTCTGACCTTAAAATTGCCAAATTATTTGATGCTATAAAATCAAGAAACAGTTAAAGTAAACTTAAAGCCACTGACTCAGGCATGTAGTGATTTCAGTAAACTTGGAGCTTGGCCACAAATTCAAAGGATGAGCAAAAATTCCAAAGTACAGAAGAGTGTTCACTTTCTTTGTGTTTCATCACAGAGACTTAACGATGAAATCCTCGGATGCAGAGGATATTTTCCTCCCAGGTTTAGATTACTGGGGACATACAGCTTGTCTGCATGGCAACTCTTAAAATCTTCAGAGAAGAGTCTTCAAAAACTAAAGCAATAAATGACGAAACTAGGCACGGAGCTACTGAAAATAAAACATTTTCAGTGCTTGATTGATGGAAGACTTTCCTGTGACTTTAAGGAAGAAATCACAACCACCAACCACCTCTGAGGAGACACATGAGATAAGCAGTCACACATCTGCAAGAAAAACTATGGGCTCAGACACAAAACAAGAAATAACACTTAGCACTTCTTCGATGCATCGGAGACGAGGAATGTTTTCTCCCTTCCTTCTAATAAGCTATACAAGTAAATTAAAATCCCCCGAGTCCATCTCAAAAGAAAATGCAGTTAGAAAAAAAAAAGATTACTTCATGGGAAAAAAAGTACAGCTATAAAATCTCATAGAAAGTGGCATACAGCTACATACAAAGGGATTCATTTGAAGCCAGCTGTTTTTAATAACCAACTTTGTCTTGCCCATATTCAAGAGGACAACTTCAACCAGAGAACACGCATATTGCAAAGCACGGACTAACAGCCGAACTTCTCACACAAGAGAAGGCATATAGGGATACAGAAAACTTAAAGCAGATCAGCCTGATGGCAAGCCAGAAACAAGACCCTGCAGGCACATAAGGCACTGAACCCAAAATACAACTAGCTGAGGTAGTATGTCCTTAATTCAGGAGGCCCACTTTCAGAAAATAAATAGATACAAGTAAGGAATAATGCTGCTCTGGGCACCATACTTGCATATATGCACAGACTAATATTCAAACAGCCTACATACATACACATCATTCTTTGTAATGTGATCCCACCTCATAAAGCCTCAATACTGATCCAGCTTTGAAACAGGAAAAAAGAGGAGTAAATGTGTATTATGAGGGGTGCCAGGAGGCAGAAGACGACCTCCTCCTTTTCATCTCTAGCAAGATCCATCTGTGAAGTGTGGGTGGGGCTTCAGTCACACCAAGGGTTGTCTCCACCCTAGTAGGAGTAGAAGCCATCTGCAGTAAGGAAGGGCTGGTGGACCACATCACCCTGCCCAGCCAAAGGCCCAGCTGGGGCTCCCGATTGGGGTAGGAAGGGACAGAGTTTTCTAGTTTCATTAGTTTTGGGGTTGCCCAGATCATATCCCCCACAATGAGTGTAGAATTCCTGTGTTCCCCCAGGCAGCCAGCAGGAGAGGTGTGGAAAAAGGACTGTTTGGGGGCATCAAGGCTAACTGTGGGCAACCCGGGAGTGCATCATCAACCATTCCCTTGTGTCTCATCTTTCAAACGGAACCCTAGTGTTTCCTCCGAAAGACCTTTCATCCCAGGTTTAAGTTCCTCCCAAAGATGCTGAAGAGATATGATCTGACTCCCACATATGCCTTCCACACTTCTCCACAAACCCAATTCTCAAGCCAGTCCGGCGCCAGGGTTGAGTTCCCGTCACGAGACAAACTCAAGAAACCTGCGTCTCCTGACTAGAGCTGGGCAGCGCCTTGTCCACCTGCTCCCTGGAGTCTAGGACAAGACCATGTGGATCCCTGTCTAGGTCCCTGCAACTCCGGTACATTCCTCTCCATACTGGATAAGGCCTGAAGGCCCCCCTCCGGGAGCCAGGCCGATCAGGGGGCCTCCCTTCTCCCGCACATCCCATAAACACGCAGGTCATGGCTGGCCAGGCCTAGACCGGCTCCGCTCCCGCCGTAGCGACGCAGAGACCCCAGCAGTGCCATGCGCAGCGGCGGCGACCTGCGAGTACGCCATCAGGTCACGCGCGACAAGCCACCCAGGCGTGGCCTCCTGGCCGCCGCACCTGCAGTGCGCCAGCCCGCTGGGGGCGCTCCCGGCCGCCCCGCCGGCCCCATGGCGCCAGCCCCGAACCGAAGGCAGCGCGCCCGCAGGTCACGCCGGAACAGCCTGCATCGCCTCCCCAGCGCCAGCGCACCTGCAGTTCAGTAGCCGGCTTCCCCGCCCCGGGCCCTCCTTCTCTCCCTCCCCGCTCCGGGCCGCGGCCGCGCCTCACCAGCGATAGCAACCCTCTGAGGCTTCCAGCGTGAAGTTCACGCGCGTGGCCCGCGTGAAGGGCAACAGCACTTTGGGGATGTTGAGCTTGGCCGCCGCGGCGGTGGGGCCCAGCGCCAGCAGCACTGAGAGCGCGAGCAGCAGCAGCGCCCGCCCCTGAGTCCGCGCCGCCATCCTCTCCGCGCTTCACCTCCCGCGACCCGGCCGCCCGCGCGCTCCCCCTCGCGCCCTCAGTCCCCGCCTGCGCGCCAAGCCAGCAGGTGATAAGCGCGGGAGGGAGAGAGGCGCAAAAAAAGGCCTGCGGTCTTCCCGGGTCTTGACGCGGCCTGAGCGCGGGAATTGAGGGGTCTGAGCCCCTGCTAACTCCACTCGTGGCCACGCGGGCGGACGGAGGGATTGGGGCGCCCTCCCCGGACCACACAATGCGGGGGATGAGATGGGGCGCGCTCCCCAGTACACAGTGGGAGGCTGCGCGTGCCCGAGCCATGGTAGGGAGGAAGAAAGGATGGGGAGCGCGCCAGCGTGGGGAGAGACTGAATGCGCGCCCTGCACCACGCGGGATGCCCTGAGCGGTTTTCTGGCCTCCTTGCTCATTACCCATGGTTTCAAACTCTCCGGCAATACTTCACGCCAATGTGGAGCCTTCTAGCCATCACCGCAGTCATTCATTCGGCTCTGCTCAGCCACTCGACCTGGGCAGAGCGCAAAGGAGGCCGCTAGGCTTCCCCGACCTTGAGCTCAGTCAACACGCAAAGGGACAGGCAGAGCGCCAATGTGTGTATTATCCAGGTCCATACTCTCAAGAGGGGGGACCCTGGGTTCGGCAAGGGGAAGAAGACCTGCCTCAGCACTGAGGGCCCTATGTGTGCTTCCTCCCCCTTCAACCCCCTCACAGCCTTGCCAGGAAGGCGTTATAACCCCTATTTCTCAAGTTGAGTGGCCCGAAGATCTCTCATTCAAGAATAGCGGTAGGGCTCTGGTATCAAAACTCTTGTTCTCTGCGCTGCACCATCTTCCAGAAGGCGGAGGCAGGTTACGCAAAGGCGCCAGCACTGCCAGAGCACCCTCTTAGCCTCACCGCTCCTCCTCCCGGTCGGGGGTGGGGGGATGAGGAATCATTCAGCATCACTAAATTCATCTGCACGCAGAAATCTTAAATCTTAAATTCAATCTACTTTCTATGGTTTGTAGTTTTTGTCATGAATTGCATGATAGTGGGTTCAGTGAGCACCAGGTGCACCAGTGCCTCTAAAATGTTAATCTTTGCAGGGAGGGCCCAGCCTAGTGGGAGGTCTGGAAGGGGCCTGAGTGAGCATGCGCAGGCCCAGCTTGTGTAAAGGGTCTAGGAAGTGCGCCGAGTTATAACAGGAAGAGCACACACTGATTTTACCACTTGACTAGGAAGGAGAATCTGAATTTCATTCATGCTGGGGAAAGCTTCTTGGAGGCAGTGGCCCCTAGACTGGGCATAGCTACCTTACTGGTCTTCAGAGGCCTAGATGGGTCTGAGCCTTCCCCTTAGGGGGGTTCTTAGTGTTTTGGATGGTGATAAGGGGTGTCTTGGGGTCACGCTCAAAGCCTGAAAGCCCCAGACCAGGGAATATGTGTGTTGAGGGAACCTCTAGAGATCCCAAAGCTCGGGGGTCTTTCCTGTGTGGAACCAGGTGCTCTGGGAGGGAGAATTCCAATGGATTATCTTCTCAGAAGAAACATAAGAGCTGTATGGAAAAGCAACCCCAAAGGGAAATCTGTGCGAAAATTTCCTTGTGCTTGTTTGCACATTTTATTGATTTACAGAGCTAGTGATATGTACCACAATTCAAATGAATCTCCAGGGAAGTATGTAGAGTGAATAAAAGGCCAGTCCCAAAAGGTTCCATACTGTATAATCCCATCATATAACATTGTTGAAATGCCATAATTATAGACATAGCAGATAAGTGACTGACGGGGAGAGGGACAGGCCTGTGTAGGTGGAGTGTGATGTGGCTATATGAGGACAACATGAAAAATCCTTATGGTGGTGGAAATGTTCTGTATTTTGACTGTTTTCTGTCAGTGGTTACAATATTGCCATATGGTTTTGCAAGATGTTAACCATTGGGGGAAACTGGATAAAGGGATCTCTCTATATTATTTCTTACAACCGCATGTGAATCTTTAATTATCTCAAAAAAAGTTTATGCAAACAAAAAAGCAAATATACAAAAAAGCCTAACAAAATAATCTGGGTGGACACAGCTTCCTGACCTCCTGTATGTTTAATTTAAGGTAGTTAGGAAATTTCTTCAGCAAAAGACAACCAATAAGAAACAACAAAATGATGGATAAACATTTTCCCATTTGACATTTTCTTTTTATATTTTCCTTAAGCATTTCCCCCTTACCCTCATTTCAGTTTCCTATAAACTGATAAGGGATGGTGTCTGGGATGCAGCTGGGGGTTCATGTGGGCCACCTCACTTTCTCTATGTGGTCTGTTTCCAGTCCCTACCATTGGAACCCCTTCTTTAAGTGTCAAGTGCTTTAGCTGAGTTTCAGGGAGGCAGTGGGCTGTGTGGCCTGAGCAGACCATCTACTCAATGTACAGAGACTCTCAGGAATGGAAGGGACCCCAGGTTTGGGTGAGAGGGTTGTCTAGCTGATAAATAAAGTGAGAAAGGAAAATGTTTCCTGCGACTTATGTCAGTGCCTCCCAAACTCTTGTCATTTTCCTACCACCCTAAAACATCTTACAGTATCTAAGTACCACATGTACTATCATTTCCTATTTGTTTTTAAATCAAAATGTTTACATGTATTTAAGAAGAAAATTTTTTCACTTCTGTAAATAGAAAAATAGTATTAGTAGACAAAATAGAAGTAACCATAAAATAGATAACGATGAAACAATGAAACATGGGGATGCTATCGAGTGGCTTCTTTCCTGCCAAAGGCTCAGAACCCAAGGCCGGTTCTCACTGTTCAACTTAGGCATGACCAAGTACCAGACAATATCAAGACATGATGACCCCAACCTGAGCCTTTCTCCTTGAACATATGAGGCTTAAGTGAGAATTTAAAAAGCAAGGAAGTTTTTCATAGTGGGCTGTCACAGAGCCTATCCATCATTTTTTTTTTTTACAACAAATATATTTTTTCAATTTTACAGTGGAGAATCTCAAACATTCATAATAGTAGACAGATTAGTAAAATGAAGCCCCATGACCATCCAGTCCCATGACCACAACCTATGGCCAGTTCCATTCCTTCTGAGCCAAACCTAGCTCCTAGCTCATGTCCTTTTGAAACAAATCCAAGACTTCCTTTAATTTCCTCTGCAATTCAGTGTGTGTATCTCTAAAAGGTAAGGACCCTTTTAAATATACACTATAACCACAATGCTATTATCATATCTAAATAATTAGTCATAAAATAGCCAATTAAGTTTAAATTTACAGCCATCATAAATGTCATAATTTTTTTCACAGTTTTGTGTTTTAAGAATCAGGATCCAAGTAAGATTCACACATTGCAGTTGGTTGGAATGAGCTTTTAATCTATAAGTCTCCCTTTGCAATTTCTGTTATCCCTTTATATGTGGAGTAGACATTTGTATTTTAGTGTGCCCTCATACTGAGGTCTGCCTCCCCTCTGCCACACATTTGTGGGCACCACTGCAGCAGCAGTGGTTTCCCTGGTGCACAAATATGAAGCTAGGTTTTGGTCATGGTCCCTGGGAATTTAGGAAAGAGGAACCCACTATGAACCTTCAGCACCATCTCTGAGCTGGAAACCTCGGTGTTTGGGGAAATAAAACATAATAAAAAGACTGGGAGTATTGAAATGGCTTCAGTCTTTGCAAAATGTTTTCCCAGACTTCATGTATAAGCTGACAGTGCCATTTAATTACAGAAATTGCTGCTTTTTATCAATGCCCAGATAAGCTGCCTGCTTACAGGATCCAATTTCTATTTGTGTGCTTACTCTTGGGGCAGTTTTTCACACTTGCCACATTCATCCTATGCCAGGATCAATGACAATTTCAATTAGCTTCCTATGGGCTGCTGCTCGCCTACAGACTTTTGTCTCCATAGGCGTCACTGTGGAACAATGGCAACAAAATAAGCTGATAACAACTTCACACTGTCAGGCCCCCTCAAAAGCTCAGGCACATCTGTGTTATCCCAGCCAGCTAAGCCTAACACCGGCAGCCCTGTCTGGACACGACATAAGAGGGAGTCCTTGAATATCTCCAGGTAACCAAAACTGGAGGAAGGCCTGTCCTACTCCTGGCTTCCCAGAACTGCCCCAGCCTGTTTCCAAGAACTACAGGCAGCTCCACACTGGCGCCAGAGTAGTCAACACAGATCACCTGGCTGGCCCCTCACCTGGCTGGTTTCCCAGAGCCTCGCAGATGCCTTTGGCAGAGACTCCAATCTCCTTCTCATGGTTCTCAGGCCCTCCGGGGTGTCCCTGCTTACTACACAGTGTTGCCTCTTACTTCTGCTTCCTGCACCCCTAAACATAGCCTGGACACACCCCTATAATTCATACCTCTGATAATGAACCTAATGTATCTGACCCCCTACTGAAGACCATTTTTTAACACTCTTTTATACGACAAAATTATTTTCAGTAATAAACATTAATGCAACATAATAATGGCTGAGAAAAAAATAAGCTTTTTAACTATTTGATTAAGTTTTATATAAGCAAGCAAAAACATTTTAATAAAAAATAAAATAAATATTACAGCCAGAAAAGGAAAGGTAATGATTAATAATGTTTAATTACATTATGTATTTTTAAAAACATATATTGGCCTGTTGCAATAATGAATACCATTAGAGTATACTAGACCATTTAACAAGAACAATAAGAAATTTTCATTTTTAACCTAATATTTAAATTTATTAAAAATGTTTATATAGAATGTAAGATTTGTACTTACCAATCAAAAATATTAATCCTCGTAGTTTGCTCTCTTTCAGTGTTTTAAAATTCAAACCAAATAAGAACTATAGTGGTCACATATAATGACCGAATCACAATAACAAGTGGTTTGTATTATTAATCAAAAAAAGTTCATCTAGATTTTCTATAATCACACAGAGTACTTGGTGATGTTAAAATGATCCAAAAGGGATATTAACAAAGTTATCAAATATGATACACGAATACGAGAAATCTTCAAATCAACTAGAAAGCATTTTTGTGATCAGTAGACAGACTGGATT